TGCTTATTTTTAGCGACAGTAAACAACAAAGTAATTTACAAGAATGGGCTTCTGGGACTTCACCCGGGGAAATTCGTGTACGCGAAGTTGGGCGTAAAGTCGGTGTGGAATTCTACCCGGGGAACTATGGTAATATTTTATAGCAGTAGTGACTGAGAAAGTTTTCTCTATTGTTGAAAAAACGAAACCAAGCTTCGAGCTAGCATGACAACAAAAACTTAAAGTGCTTTTAATGACACACAAGCTGGAAATTTTGAACAGAGATTATAAGTGTCATTAGAATAAATATTGATGTTATGACTCCAATGAGATCCAGCGAAACAAGCAACATACCGTGCCCTTCATGGTGAAGTCTGTAAGCCTACTGATTAAAATGTAAACTTAAATATTTTTTCTTGGTTGTGAGGTAAATAAACAGTACACTTGAAATTAAGTAACTCTTGTTTTGTTTGAAGCAACTGTACAGGAATTAGGATATAATTGCCATCTTAATTTTTTGTCACCAATGAATAGCGTCCCTATTTTTGATATTCGAATGTTGGCAGGTATGTCAATATACAGCATTTAATGGACGGACCTGTATGGGCGTGTAGGTGTACGTAAAAACATTAGAAACCATTACTGGACTACATATCCCTCTAAACTATGTTTACGTACAAAGGAACGTACAACCCGCAGGGTTCTGGTTTATAAATGGGGGTTACATTTGCCCTTTTCCATCCTGATGGAACAAAATTTTCACTTAGAAAATGTGAAAAAAGATAAGACAAAGGCTTGGCAATACTATTAGGTATTTCGATTAAAATTCTTGAACTTAAATTATCGGGACCAGGCGCTTTATTTGGTTTTAATTTCTGTAACTGTGCCAATACTTTTTCCGGAGAAAAACAAACTGTTGTAAGTGCATCTTCATCAACACCTCTAAATTCATGAATACAATCAGGAAGCTTGGACATTGACTCCTCACTAAAAACCGAAGTAGAAAATTTACTTAAGACAACAACTGCAACAGAGTCGTCTACAATCACATCTCCTTTTTCATCTATTAAAGGATATTTTAGTTTTTGTTTTAGACCTAACATATGCATAAAAAGATTTGGGATCCAACTTACAATTTAAAGCAAGTTTCTTCTCATAATTTCTCTTGGCTTTTTTAATCCCCGACTTGGCGTGCTTTTTACACATCGTATATTTTACGTAGTCACTGTGTTCTCTAGAGTTACGGTATGCAGACCACAATTTCCTCTTCTTCTATAATAATCTTACTAATTTTCTATTAATATAAGGCGATTTAGTTTTCTTTCTGTGCAATTTCATAGGTATATATTTACTGATAGCATTATCAATAATTCTACTGAATTTATCCCAAGCTTCAGAAATTGACTTTAATTTTATAATTCTAGACCAATCAAACTCAAATAGACTAGCTGAAAATCATGCCAACTAGCCCTTCTATAGTCAGGGACATATTCAATGCTATCTTTAATTATAGTCTCAAAGCAAAAATCACATTCAATGATCTCGTGGTCACTTGAACCAAGTTTTCCAACAGCCTAAAAATTGGTAATCATATTCTCATTAGTTAATACGAAGTCCAAAATGTTTTGACTGCGAGTAGGAAAATTAACTTGGTGGTACAAGAACTATCCTGAACAAAGTCTAAAAAATCTCTACCTTCAAGGTCTGCATTTAGGAACTCCCAATCAACACCAGGGTAATTAAAATCTCCAATGATAACCAGCGGACAATTCAATTCAACGGCTTTCATAAAAGCGGAATGAACATTTTTGAGTTATTTTCCATACTACTATTAGGCGAACGATAAACACCCCCTATAATAGCCTTTTTATTTTCTTTCAGCTTAATTTCAACCCAAACAGAATTAACAAAACCACAGATTGAGAGATCCTTTAACTCATGTGCCACTAAAGATTCCCTAATATACACCAAAACACCGCCCCCTCTGCCATACCTAGTATCGGAACGATCTTGTCTAAAGGGAGGCCCAAAACCACCTATGCTCTAAATTGCATCAATAATTTTCTCATTTGTCCATGACAATTATAATAATTGCATCCGGCTTCCTCTCTGAAACTAGGACCCCCAACTCATCAATTTTATTAACAACACTCTGTGCATTCGTATAAAGAAGTTTAATACTTGGCACAATACCGTTAGAATTTAATTCATATTTGAAAGTTGGACAGACCTATCAAACAATGGGTGGCGACGATGGGTGGCGCATGCACGGTTAGCGTCCCCGTCGGTGGGGAGAACTTGTACTGAACGCATCACGACTGTCTAGGAGGCCTACATATTACGGCCTAGTTCAGACTAGGTGGATAAACCTGGCTCAACTCACCGGGTTTATCCACCTGCCGGGCTGTGTTCCTATGTATAGTAACTAGGCCTGGTGGGCCACAGTGTTTAACTTTTCTAAGCTGGGCTTTAATCGTTGCGGGGGGTCTTGCATTGACTTCCGGGTAACAAAATGACCAATCAGCATTCAATTACGTACGCTGTGAGCGGTCCTATACAATGCAAAGCAGATTGATCACAAAATCACTGCTTGATCTCAAACATCAGAACCCAGCTTGTATTGTTTAAAACTGTCCGGGCCCTATTGAATGAAACTACGGTATTATAGTTGGGGGCCCTGGCTCTCCCTCCATACTCCCCCCCCCCCCCCGACACCACTGGTTGTAACCCCTCCTGATTGTAGCAACCCCAAAACGAACGGCACTTCAGAATTGTATACCAATTTATTCTCGCAAACTTCATATCCTATCGCGTTGTTTGAGTTTTAAGTTAACTTAATTTTTTTTTGAAGTGTTTTTTTGAATATTTTAAAATCCTTAAGTTAAATTTATTTTTTTTTTAAAGTTTTTTTTTTAAATTTTCAATGAAAAATAAATGGGATCTTTAATTTCGAGGTGATGTACACAAGTCCACTCCTGCTGCGAAGTTTACTCCTAGCTAGCCTGCTGTGCGTAGGCTAACTGGCCTCTACCGAGTCTGAGCTTTGATATGACCTTTCTCTAGGCCTAGAGACAGTCGTGATGCGTTCAGTTCAAGTTTCCCCCCCACCAGGACGCTAACCGTGCATGCGCCACCCATTGTCGTAAGAATAGCATTGGGGGCTAGAGGTGGTATGTTGATGTAGTATTGTACTCCTCTCCTCTACGCTATTTTATTGTTATTTTATTGAATTTATTATGTAACAATTAGCAGGTGAAAACATGCTTGCGGTACACCATGTATGTACCTCTAGTTCTAAAAGAAAAATTGGGTACAACCCTCTATGTTAAATAAAAAATATACTATGGCCCTTCGTCCTATTTTTATGCCCATCCTTGCAATACACCTTTTAGAACACCAAACATGAATGAAATGCAAGGAAAAGAGTTACAATTTAATACATTTATTAACAATATAAAATGAAAGTTATTCTACAATATTCATTGGATGTTGCCTGTTTGGTTTTTTAAATAAAATTACCTGTACATCTTATCTAATTACCGATACATTGTATCTAATTGCAATAACAATCCAATTATAAATTATATTTTCTAAACCAGTTATATTTATTTATAATTCTGTCTTTTTAATAATAGCACTTTCAGTGACGCAGTACTGGTTTCACAAGTGGATTAAATAAACAAAAAAATGAAAGAAAAGTTATTTGGATCAAGCAAGAAAACATAACTTTGCAGTGGAAATGATAAAACATATGATGGCCTGGGTTTCGATTAAGTTTTTAAAAGTTGAAAATCATTACAATTTATTATAAATTACATCTAATCTTATTTTGATTGAGAAGGTGACGAGAAAGCAGTGCAATGGAGTAAAAATGATATAATTTCATCTCCGCCCATTTTCAGCTTCCTTAGCAAATTCATTGGTCTTCATTTTGTGAGTTGAACCTGAAAAAGAAAAAAAAAACACAAATTTAGCCGTAGGTGATTTATATAAAGTTAAACACTCGACGATCGAAAATGCGATCAATGTGTGCCTGCTATATAAATAATTAATGGTGGAGTGATCGGGCTTAGGCCTAGGCCTAGCTGTTATCATAGATCAAAAATATGGTACAAGTCTGTGCTGTTGTTGGGTGTTCGCCAGTAGGGCTGAAAGAAAGAAGAAATCATTTTATAGGATCCCAGCAATTATAGAACACCAGGGCCTAAAGCAAAGGAACTGTCAGAACGCCGCAGAAATGCATGGCTTTCGAGCATCCATCGGAATGATCTGAACAGCGCCAAGATGGCCCAGTAGCGTATGTGCTCTAATCACTTTATCAGTGGTATGTACACGATTTTAGAAATGTTAATTTTAATAATAACAAATAAAACTAAAAAATCATTAGTACTTTGTAGACTAGTTTTATTTTTGACAGTACACTAGTCCTAGCTTTCGTGCACACAGTGCACTTCTTCAGGTGAATGGCACTGTGTGCACGAAAGCTAGTGTACTGTCAAAAATAAAACTAGTCTTCAAAGTACTAATGATTTTTGAGTTTTATTTGTTATGATCACATGAGACTAGTACGGCTCATCTATTTTTTATTTTAATAATAATCGTAATACAGCAGATCCAAGGAAAATAATGCTTTCTTCTTATTAATTATTGTAAGCCTATTGTTCGTAAGTCCAACTCCAAGCTAGCCTAGGCTCCTCCTAGGCTAGGCCTGGTAGTAAAGGCCTAGGGGTATGGCCTACGTAGGCCACTCGCTAACTGATTTTGTTCTACCGGATGCTATTACCAAACCTAGGCCTAGGCCTAGATAGGCTTAAGAAAAAAAAACCAAAAAAAAAAAACCCAGAAATTATTATGTATAAAAAGTAAGTAATATCCTACCACTGTACTTAATGAATATTCTTAAGTATCTGCATGTTTCTTAATCAAAATTTCAATTTATCAACTGCCATGTTATTTATATACAGTACTGTATATGGTAAATGAATGTTGTTAATAACACTCTGTTATTCTTTCAAATGCAGGTTCTCCAAAGAATAGTGTCTCATCTCAAACTGAATTAATGGGAGCAGATGTAAAGAAACTTGAAGAAGAAGTGCGACGACTGAAAAGTGAAAACATTAGTTTACAGGCCACTGTTGATAACTTCCAATTCTCACCTGATTCATTTAAAGAATCACCAGATAAAGTGAATTATTTCACTGGGCTTCCAAATTATTTAGTTTTAATGTCACTGTTTAAATTTATTTCCCCTTCATTGTCAGAATCAAAACGAAGTGCATTGGGAAAATTCCAACAGATGATATTAAGCTTAATGAGGCTAAGATTGAACATGACGGTTTCCCTTCTGAGCCACATTTTCAGGGTGTCACCTTCAACAGTGTCAAAAGTATATTCATGTACAGTGGATGCAATGTATGTTTATCTAAGGCATATGATACATTGGCCGGAAAGAGAAGACTTAAGAAAAACAATGCCAATGGCATTTAGAAAGCACTACAAGATAAAAGTAGCTGTGATAATTGACTGTTTTGAGATTTTATAGAGAGGCCATCAGACTTAAAGGCAAGGCCTCAGACTTGGTCCTCCTATAAACATAGTAATACTGTAAAATACTTAATTGGAATTACACCTCAAGGTGTGATTTCTTACATTTCCGAGGGCTGGGTTGGAAGAGTTTCAGATAAGTATTTAACAGAACACAGTGATTTCCTTGATCGCTTACTTCCTGGGGATGTAGTGTTAGCCGTCAGGGGTTGACATTGCTGATAGCATTTGTTCTGTCTGTGCTCAGCTACAGATACCTGCATTTACAAAAGGCAAATGTCAGTTGTCTGCTAACGAGGTTGAGTCTACACGCAAGATTGCAAATGTTTGAATCCACGTAGAGAGGGTAATTGGCAATCTAAGGCAGAAATATACTATCCTTAATGGAGTAATCCCAGTTGATCACCTGATTATAGCCCACAAGGTGACATCCCAATAATTGATAAAGAAGTTGTAATTTGTTGTACTTTAATAAACATTAATGAATCAGTCGTGCCTTTGTTTCAACTGAAAGCTTTGGCTTAAACATTGTAATTGCACAAATTTATTTGGTAATGTTCTGTATGAATGGGCTGACCACTACAAGAAGTTATTTAACTGTGTTAAAAATGATATTCATAAAGATTTTGTTTTAAACAATATTAATCAAATATAACTGTCCTAGCATTGATGAGAACATTTTCAATGTATATAGCTTATCCGTATATATAGCATGCACACATTGGTCGCATTATTTGATTGAGCCATATTCGCATTGTCTGCCAACATGGTGAATTACGCCAAAAGTACATGACTAAGTTTTTAAAAACTTGTTGATCAAATACTGTGGGGATACACTTATGTCTGGAGACCATCAGTTTGCTTTCGAGTAAATCACTGGTCCTTGTATAAGCGATTAGTTGGCACTAACCTTATTGCTGTTAGAGTTCTAAAATCTTGGTATGAGAAACAAAGATTCTTTGTTAGATGGGGCAATTCCCAGTCAAGATGTTTTAAAGTAACAAATGGTGTGAGACAAGGTGGAGTTCTGTCTCCTCTGTTATACAATGTATATATTAATAGTTTGAATACCAATCTAAGTAATTGTAATTTTGGATGTGAGGTTAACAAAATTAAACTTAATAATTTATGTGGATAGTTTGAATACCAATCTAAGTAATTGTAATTTTGGATGTGGGATTAACAAAATTAAACTTAATAATTTATGCGGATGACATGGTGCTACTTGCACCTTCACTGGATGCCCTTCAAAAGCTTGTTAATCTTTGTGAAGAATATGCTAGTGAATTTGATATTTTATATAAAGTCAATAGCATTGGCACTTTAGAAATAAAATAGAAAGCTTGAATGGAATTTGCTGTCCATTACTTGTTTTTGAATTGTTAGCTTGAGTGTATGTATGATCATTGAACTATGTTGCAGTTGCTTGAGACGTACTACTATGAAGTGGACCTGCTGATCGAAGTAGAATAATAACAGTTTCTATTTAACTAATCATGAAACAATTTATTGCTCATCAAAACTTGCATTGATTTGTGCCTCAAAAATGTGCATGTCAATACCAGTTGCTTTATCACAATCTTTACATAAATACAGTTGAAAAATATAATTATGATTTAATACATTTACTATACAGAACTTAATATTTAAGCATGGAATATAAGTACAGAACGGTATTAATTCTTTGGTGACAGGTAGTTTTTGGAATGTCTTAATGATTTTCTTTTAAAACAATGAATTTGAATAATATAACAATAATATAAACTGTACAAACTTAGGTTACAAAATAAATAGACTGTACAGCACTGGAAACTGCATATTTGGGATAAAGTTTGAATGACTTTCAATATTTTCACGATATTGATGTTAATATTAACGATACAACTTTACTACAAATATGTACATTCACAAAAAAAAACGTAGTGGTGGTATTAATTCTTTGGTGAAACATCTGTGTTAGAATATGCAAGCTTTGTACTAGTACAAATAACCATCTTTTCAAAGATATCTGGCAGACTTTGACTTGAAGCTGTCATTAGTAGGATATTGCATATAATTTTTCTTTTAACTTTAGTTTCTTTTTATATATATTATTTTTCAATTAAAAAACAAATATATAATAGAATTACAATATTGTAACTGCATAAATTAATGTTATAAACAATTATTTAGATATATTGCACTGAAAATTGCTCATTTTGGTGAAAAAGTTTTAATAAATTAAATATTTTCCTATACAATGATGTTATAAAATATTAGTCAGTGTAAGTTTACTTTTGCCCTTATTCCTCTAACTGTACACGCTTTCTAATCTTTCTACATTCGGGGAAATACCACTTTCCTTTTGGCTTCCTTTTTAAGCCAACACTCTTGAAATGGAACCATTGTATCTTACAAGTACCAAAATCACATGCAATCAGTGTGTTGGTAACCTTTTTCCTGCAATTAGCACCACATATCATCGATTTCTTCAACATGCTCATCATTCTCTGCAGCACTTTCTACTGAAAGCAGGGCTCGTGAATAAAATTTCCCAATTAACTCTGGTAGGATGCACTGCTTAAAAAATTCAGAGGCTCGCTTTATATTTTCTTTCATGAAATTTTCATCATATTCAATTCTCTCAATATGGATGTCAGTTTCCGTACATACTACAAAGTCAGAGAAGGCTAATGAACAACAGTTCATTTGGCATTGAACCTGGTAATAGTACGAATGTGTTTTGTTCAGTTGAAACTGTCCTTGCTCAACTGGCTTAAACCAGGAAAGTCCACTGTCACCAGCTTCAAGATTTTTGTTTCTAATGCAGTAAGGCTATTTAATTTCTAGGCACCCTTTGCCGCAACATTTGCAAGAAATTAGCCCATCAGGTGTTGCTCCAATAAATGGGTATGTAATGTCAATAACAACCACGCTCGGATATCTCAAATTCTGTATGTTTTTGAATCATTATCCTTAGATACTGATCACAGGCCATCTTCTCATGATTGCAACCCCAAACAGTTCCCAGCTAGCAAGTGACGTTGACCCGATGTTGGTTGAAGGTCGAATAATTACGTTGGCACAACGTACTTAGACAAAGGTTGGCCAGACGGCCGTATTTCCATCGGCCCAACGTGGATTCAGCTTGTTGGAAAGACGTTGGCTCGACTAGTTGGATCTACGTTGGCCCGATAATGTTTGTGCAACGTCGTCCAATCACGTTGGCCCAACGTACCTTTCTGATGTTGCCTAGACGTTCGTTTTTCCATCGGGCCAACGTCGTTTCAGCCAGTTGCAAAGACGTCTATCCGACTAGTTGGATCAACGTCAGGCCGACGTTGGGTGGACTCAAGGTCAAATAATTACGTCGGCACAATGTACTTACTCAAAGGTTGGCCAGACGGCCGTTTTTCCATCGGCCCAACGTGAATTCAGCTTGTTGGAAAGACGTCGGCCCAACTAGTTGGATCTGCGTTGGCCCGATAATGTTTGTGCAACGTCGTCCAATCACGTTGGCCCAACGTACCTTTCTGATGTTGCCTAGACGTTCGTTTTTCCATCGGGCCAATGTCGATTCAGCCAGTTGCAAAGACGTCTATCCGACTAGTTGGATGAACGTCGGGCCGACGTTGGTTGAAGGTCAAATAATTATGTTGGCACAATGTACTAACACAAAGGTTGGCCAGACGTTCGGTTTTCCATCGGCCCAACGTGGATTCAGCTTGTTGGAAAGACGTCGGCCCGACTAGTTGGATCAACGTTGGCCCGATAATGCTTGTGCAATGTCGTCCAACCACGTTGGCTCATTTCAACGTTCGTTTTCTACTGTTGTCTAGACGTTCGCTTTCCCATCGGGCCAACGTCAGTTCAGCCAGTTGGAAAGACGTCAGTCCGACTAGTTGGATCAACCTCGGGCCGATGTTTGTGCAACGTCATCAAACTACGTTGGGCCAACGTTCCTTTTCTGATGTTGCATAGACGTTCGCTTTTCCATCGGGCCAACGTCGATTCAGGCAGTTGTAAAGACGTTGGTCCGACTAGTTGAGTCAACGTCGATAACGACCGATAATGTTTATGCAACGTCATCAAACCATGTTGGCCCAACGTATTTATACTAACGTTGGTTAGACGTTTGCATATTTATTGGGTTAACATGGGTTCAGCTTCTTTGAAAGACGTTAACCCAACTGGCTAGAATAACGTTGACCCGACGTTAAGCAAAGTTTACACGCATTTTGAGAAAAATGCTGTACTGGTTAAAGCAACGGCGATCCAAAGTTTGTTTTAGCGCCGACTTCAATATACCGGCACAATGAAGGTTGATAGGTCGAGGTGCATTGTAATTTATATGGCAGCATCACGACGTCGCTGGTCTGACATGTTTTAGTCTGTGTTGAGTATTCGTTACAGTGTCTTAACTGTGCAAAATATTGATGGATTTTAATTAAGGCTTGTGTACTGCGTTGATCAGGTGCCATTATATCTCATTTTACACTATAAAAAATAGATAGTAACGTAGATTATTCTAGCCTTCTAAAAGAAAGTACCCAATACAATAAAATCTTTCACTTTATTATTTTATTACTATAAATGAATGTATACACTATAGTATGTATACATAACATA